AGAACTACTGATGGGCAGGAAATTGAGGTCCCCGCTGGACCGACTACACCCTACCTACAACCCGGAGAAACCCCCAGACTCCTCCAGCAGGCACCAGGCATTCAACATCAGGGACACGGTCTACGCAAAGAACTTCACGGGAGACCCACTCTGGGTACCATTGCAATTAACACAAGTAACCGGTCCCCGGTCATACAGACTCCAAACCACTGATGGAAGAAGCTGGAAGCGGCACATCGACCAGCTATGGTCCAGGCTAGCCACCAACAGCCCCGACATCCCGACAACAACAACCACAGAAAGCGGGGGGGGGGGGAACCACAACAACCAAGCAGGGGGACAACAAAAGGCTGGAAACGCTAGCAGAACACCCCCAAAAACAAGCTGAACACCGCCGACCTAGAGAAAGCAACCCCCAAATAAACCAGCCATACTTACCAGTAGACCTCGAGCTGTTGCAGACAGGAGCTTCACCTGGAAGGAACAGCCAAGCCAGTTCAACCAGCCCGGAAAGACCAGGCGGGAACAACAGAGACTGCAGCTCGACCGACCCAGGTAGACCAGGCGGGAGCTGCAGCGACAGGCCCGGCTCACCCTTCCAGGCGGTTCCATCGAAGGGTTTGAGAGCGACGCGGAGCCCGTCTGAACCGGCCAACGATCACATACAGACTGAGCCGTGCAAGTCAACTAGGCAGGTACGGAGCCCCGCCTACCTGCGTGACTACATCACCACGCTACATCGGACAAACCATGAGGGAGGGGTGTTCTATATTAACATTCTTGAAACATCGCATTCTGATTGGTCCACATGGACCGCTACGAGATTGGCTAACTGAACTCCTGTGATTGGTGCGCTAAGAGTCTACCGCGATTGGCCGAGCCGATCGTGGGAGATTCAAAGCGCTGCCATTGGCTGCCGAGCCGCCGGCCGGCTGAATAAAGCCAAGCGGCTCGCAGGCCTTGAACTGTTCTATACATGCAATAAAGAGCTGAATGTACACTTTGGAGTCTCGCCACTCAATGCGAACCAATCTACCCAGAACCGATCTACCAGACTTAACAAAAGCACTGTTCTAAATATAGCTAAATTCAAATATATCATACATATCAACAAAAAGAGACAAGGTTTCAACTTCATGCTTGTGGAGGTGGAATGTCTTTGAATTTGGTTTTTTTCAAAGCCCACCTACCCACATCACATAGATGGACTGGTAGCCTCTTTCTCCTGGCTTGTTTTCATAATGCTCGGTAAGCTAAGATTTGATCCAGGTCGCAAAGGGACAAAGGGACATTTTATTATATTGATTGTTTCATGATGGCACACCATCAGCATTGATCATCCCTCATGTCAGCAAATTTCCTGATTGCTCCAACTAAATTTACTTACAAATTTTATTCTCAGAAATCCATGATTGTTTTTCTAAATCAATGTTTTTCCAAATTGGCAAGGTTCAGATGTGCAGACAGTTCCCAGAACTGGCTGGGGAATTCTGGGAGTTAAAGTTCACCCATCTTAAAGTTTCCAAGCTGGAAAAGCACTGTTCTAAATATAGCTAAATTCAACTATATCATATACAAAATGTACAGATTGACAGACTGATTGGTAAGTCCAGTTCATGTTATTATTTGTTCTTTCTTCTCTGTAACCTGTTTTTTTTACTATTTACTTTTATTTGCTACTACTGGTAGTATTTGATCACAATACTTGAATCCCCATAATTTACCTTCATCTCTTCCACAGTCTATGAATGCTCCAGGTTTTAAAGTAATATTTGTGCCTTAAACCATATAGGACCTATGAAAACGTCAGAGATGTGGAATATTCTAATTTTCCCTTTGAGAAAAAAAAACCCTGTATAATTTAATTTTAAATTTTCTTTTAAAGTATTTTACTTGGTTTTCACAAGATGACTAGTATTTGTTCCCTGTCTGCAGAGCGTCGTGGCTCACATGGAGGGCTGGAGGTTAAGAAGCTCATGTTCGAGACCCGAGTGCTGCTGTGTGGCAGGGTAACCTTCCTTCATTTGCTCCAACTCCTTGATGGGACCATGAAAGGAACCCCAATGGACATCCCCAGACAATGGTGATGTAAACAGCTAATCCTTTCATCCCAGAAGCATCTTAAATAGTGCCTCTGATATGCTCCCTGTCTGCTATGAATGTTTAAAGAGAAAGCATTTTGGACCCATCTACTTGTATCATTTTGGTTCCTATACTTCCTGTTGCAGATAGAATTCCCTTCTGGCTGGGAAATTCTGGGAGTTGAAGTCCACCCATCTTAAAGTTGCAAAGGTTGAAAAACACTGCTTTAAAGTCTTCCTGCAAAGCCCCTCTTTCAAAGGTGGCCCCTTAAAATAATTATAATAAACCAACCCAAGTCACTTCTTTATGCACCCAAGACGGCCTTATTCTTCACTGCTTCTACACCCAATTTGAGTCAGAGCATTAGTGTTGCACTGCACGAGCAGTAAGAATAAGAATAATCTGATAATAAATACTCTGGCACTAAATTTACCACACAAATTAATTTTATTAAAGAGATAGGTTCTTTAATAATATTCTTGGTTGATATCAGTGGTGGGATTCAAACAATTTTTTACTACCAGATCTATAGGCATGGCTTGGTGGGTGTGTCTTGGTGGGCATGGCAGGGTAAGGATACTGTAAAATCTCCATTCCCTCCCCACCCCACTAACCTGCTTTCCAGCTACATTCTCCTGTGCAGGGCAACAAAAGAAGACCCAGCCGATCAGCTGGGACTTAGGAGGCAGATGGGGGTGGGGCCAGTCAGAGGTGGTATTTGCTGGTTCTCCAAACTACTCAAAATTTCCATTCCTGGATCTCCAGAACTGGTCAGAACCTGCTGAATACTACCTTTGGTTGTTATGGACCATCCCCTATCCTGCGGAAGATGTCTTCCTTCAAAATATAATGTAATGGAGTCCCAGTTCAAAGCATAAGTGGTCACCAGTCAATTTTAAAAAAATGTCCAGTATTGGCCAATTTTCTTCAGATTTATCTGATGTTTACATCACAAGTTTTTGAAACTTCAGCAAATCCTTCAGCTAACACAATAAATCATTCTCCTAAAAATGTCAGGGCTCCAACTGGCAACCTCAGCCCCCCACTATCAGTCTTCTTGTTCAGCTTCCACACGATTCCTTTCTTTGCATGCTTAGATCCATTACTCTTGCCTAATTTCTGCCTCAGGTGAATTTTTCCTTCAATTGATGCTCTAAAGCAGGCTTGTCCAACCTTTCACCTTCCCTGGGCCACATTAGAAGATGAAAATTTGGTTTGGGCCGCACATAAAATAAAATAACAGTAACGATACCTGATCATCCAAAAAAACCCATAGAAAACATTTTTTTCATAAGATATCATAAAAAATAGTCAACCAGGGAGAAAGGAAGCGCCTACCTCTCCTCCTGCAAATGGCCCGGCTGGATGTGGCAGGACTGGAAGGCGAGGACCGGGAGGCTCAGTACAGCAGCAGCAGCAGCGGTGGCGACAGCAGGGGCAGAAGTCGCTACAACAGCTCCCGCGGCAGCAGCGGTGGCGGGGGCAGAAGCCGCTACAACAGCTCTGGCGGCGGGGGCAGAAGCTGCTACAACAGCTCCGGCGACGGCAGCAGCAGCGGGGGCAGCAGGGGGGGGGAAGCCGCTACAACAGCTCCAGCGGCAGCAGTGGCGGCGGTGGTGGCAGCAACAGCAGGAGGTGGCGGAGTGGGACTCTTGGGCTGCGGCTGCCTCGGCACAAGGAGTGCTCTGACGGCGCCCGCCTTTTCTGTTGCTGCTTGGCGTGGCGCTCACCTCACCCCGCCCCGCCTTGCGCCTGCCTCTCCTCCTCCTCTTTGCTGGCTCGTCCTCTTGCACGAAGGTTGGGGTGGGCACTGGGGCACATTACGAGCCGACCTGGGCCGCATGCGGCCCACGGGCCGTGGGTTGTACAAGCCTGCTCTAAAGTTTATTGATATGTACTGCAAGGGTTATTCACTCCAAACTTTTGCCTCATTTTCTCTTCTAGCCTGAAATCTGTATTTTCTGTCATCTCACATTTTGGGAGATGCCTGTTCCTGAAGGTCGGGTTAAACTTGTCTACAGCTGTTTTTAAAGTTAAGCCAAAACTATGAAGAGTTCTGTGGTTCACAAAATCTCTCCCTCACTCTCCCAGGGATTCCATTTACACTTACGTTGCAATCCCTCTCCCAAACTGGTAGCGATGGAACATGGAGGTCCTGACTGCTAAGCAGACTCATGCTTTTACTGCCTCCCCTTTGTCTTTCTTACGTTGATATCAAAGAAATGGTGGAATAGAATAAGGAATGCAAAAGGAGGGACAAATAAAATGTGAATGGCAAAAATGAACTTTTTAAAAATCATTTTAACTAATTAAATTGAATTGTTGAATTATCCCACAATGAGTTATTGTATTGGCTGTAGTGAGCAGGCAGCAATGAGTTAACCATGGCAAGCTGACCATGGCAAATTATCCTATTCCCTTCCTCTAGAACAGTGTTCTTCAAGAGGACTTCAATTCCCTTTGGATAGTGAGATGGCTGCCATATCAATTTAATAAATACACAAAATATTGTAAACATTATCCAGTGCTGCATCAGTGTATTTCTGGGGCACTAAAGTAACATGTCTCAAGCAGACTTTTGGAAGACTGCTAAATATATGTTGAAAATGCCACCTGTAGCTTCAGTCATGGAGCATATAAGGTTTCTTTTGGAGGGGTGTATGTACCCTCATTCATGGTGGCAGGAGAAGAGGAGAAAAAGGAAGAGGGGAGAACATCTTCTTTGCTGATAGCCGTGGAGGCCAGAAAATGGGCAACAAATTGGCTCCTGATTTCTTCCTTCCGTGGGAGGAAGTAAGACTCCTCAATGCCCCAGGGGAAAAAGAATCCCAAAGTACAAATAAAGTATATGGACTTTCAATATCCTGTTTTATTGAACACATACAAATGACATAGGCAGGTCCTAATTACATTATTCTCAAGACTTACAGCTCAGTGCGGAAGACCAGGCCACTGCCTGCTAATAACCGGGATGAGATTTCATCTATCTTTTCATTTTGAGCCACAGTAAGATGCTCCTTCCAGTTTCCTACAACACCTATAGATGGGGGGAAAAAATCCAAGAAAACAAAGTAAACAATTTCTGTTTCCTGAGTTCTTTTACAACTATTTTAATAGTTCAGCAATGGAATGTGCATCCTTCAGAGGGTCCCTCCAGGTGACACCCTGGAACCGGATCAGGTAGAACAACTGCTGGAACAACCTGAAGGGAAGCCTATGTCAGCAGGAGGATTACAAGTGGAACACAGGATCTGCATGTCAGAAGAGATTGTCAGTGAAATACAGGTAGTCTTTAATTTATGCCGGCAGTGGAGGTCTGTTCTTTAAGGTCACAAGTCTTGATCGTGGTAAAATAGGCCGATCATGTGACTGATTATCTTTTTTGCAACAATCATTAAATAGCCATAATGGTTGCAAAGCAAATGCAATGGTTATTAAGCAAAAACAGCAGTCGTTAAGTGAACCAGCAGTTTGCTATGGGTATGGGTTCGCCAAAAAACAGAAGTAAATACGAGTTTTTGGCAAAATGTCATAAAGTGGCTGGGTGACCATGGCCTGCTTGCCCATCCAAAATTCAGTCATGTGGATGTGGGGGGAAGGGACACCTGACCATCATGTCAGAAGAATAATTTGGGGTTCCAACTCAAGCCGGGGCTGTGCAAGAATAAATAAAAATGAGATCCAGAGAGCTGTAAGGAAAGAAGAAATACTTATTCCTAAAAGCAAAACAGTTTGAATTTAGGGGCAGAGAAATGGGCTACAGCAGCAGATTAGTATAGAGGAATCTTTTCCAGGATGAAATGCCTACATGCTGTTTCTAGGGTGACAATTGAGGTGTGTGTGTGTGTGTGTGTGTGTGTGTGTGTGTGTGTAGGTGTGTTTATTCTTGCAAAAATGCAGTTCCTTTGGGAGACTAATGTAATGAACTCTTTATTTGTAGACACTTTTAATATGTATATTAAGTCTGGGAAACTTATTTTGAGGAAATTTTCTAATTTGATTAACTTGGAGATACTGATTCTCAGACCATTGTGGATTCTGTTAATACTTTTACGGAAGATAGAAACAGTATAAAGAATAGAATATGTGGGGATATATAACTTTTCACAATCAGAACTTTGAGTCATAAGTAGGCCCAGGTAGGTCCATCATAACTTTGAATCAGGGGTGGGATTCTATCAGTTCACACCTATTCGCTAGAACCAGTTGTTAACATTCTAAGCAGTTCGGAGCAGTTCGGTTAGAAGAAATTACTGTCCTAATCCTGTAAGGAAGGCAGGAAGGAAACATTCTGGTGTTGCTTACAGAAACTGCCTCTCCATTACCCTTATTACATTCTTGGCAGGACTAGACTTCCTGTCTCAGGAACATATCTGGAGTTTTTCCCCCCTCCTTTGCTGGTACTTTGCTTGTGTGGAGTGACCATTCAAAGTTACAGTGGCACTGAAAAAAGTGACTTATGACCATTTTTCACACTTACGACTGTTGCCGAATCCCCACAGTCATGAGAGGCTAGGCAAGGAGATGCGTGCCTCGATGTGAGTGATATTGAGTTGTCCATGCCCAGCCAATAACATGACCACCAAGCCATGTCCACCCATGTGTAATTCACTTCCTAGCTATTGTCTAGAACAAAAGATTCAACTTTTAACCTTCTTTTCTAAAAGAGAAATCACAAACTGTGACTGCCATCTTATACAGACCAAGTAGAAAAAACTTGTGAATGCACAATACATTTTTATTTGAAACTGTCCTGCTTTATATAATCTGTATCTATTCTTTCCAATCATTTGGCATCTTTTCCTCCTATCCATGTCTGCATTGTCTGTGGCTGAAACAACACTTATGTAAATTATATAAGGTAAATCCTGATAATCATATTCAACAAGTTGTTTCATTTCTTCAAATTCATGTATGCTGCTAAATTAAATTAAAAATGAAGATACACCCTAAAAGTGTTTTTTGAACACACCAAACTTTCTATTCTGAAATGATTTGCAAATTGCACAAGTTACAGTGTTCCTTTACAACTATTCTGAAGTCAATGCCTATTGCTTGGGTTTTTTTTGCCACTATTCCTGAGAACTTCACCAGCCCCTCCTATTGGATGCAGTTAAAATTCAGTTCCAGTTTTGATCCTCACCTTTTCTCATGAAGGGTGACAGGGCTTGGTTCATCAAAAAGGCAGGCCGAGTGGTGTAATTGGCCATGGGGTTGTTTTTCATAGTCTCAAACTTTGTATGCTCAGTAATCTCCTTCAGAAGTGGGTCTGGGAGTTCAAAGTCGAGGAAGTGAGCAACTTTCTGGATTTCTCTGGCTGGATCCTAAGACAAATATGGAGAGAATTCTGGCCATGTTTTGACACTTTCTTGATTGAAATAGTCATAAAATGAAGCTTATTCTTTTCTCTTTTAGTCAAGAGGTAATCCACAATAAGCTCTGAGCGCCAACAAAATGGGCGTTTTTGTATCTCATCTTTGGGCCCTGCCCAGAGTACCTTGTATAAATTTTCTCATGTAATCATTTGTATTTTATCCATATCTGTCCAAATTATACCACATATAACATTGGCTTCCAGTTTCTTTCCAGATGTGATTCAAAATGCTGATTATCATCTCTAAAACCCTGCATGCTACAGGAATAAGTTTATCTATGGGACCATTTTTCTATCCATCATGTCCAATTAGATAGGTGTATCCAGATCCCTTCTGTTAAATATCATTTAGTGGGACCAGCAAACATGCTGTAGGAAGCAGCTCCCTTTCCCAAAGATCTGGCACCCCGCAAACTTCTGGAAGATTTAAAATGCTGATCCTCTTTCCCTTCCCAGATATGAGTATGCTTGTGGTTTCTTATATATTACAGAGTGTTGGTTTAGATTAGAACACTGGGATTTGTGGTTTTATTGTTTTGAGGGGTTTTAAAATGCTCTTGTTACTGTTGCTGAGAGCTACCAAGAGCTATAGCTCATAAGATGGGCAGCTATACAACTCTCCTAAAGAAATAAAATAGCTTTCAGTGCAGAATGATCTTTCCTTAGGGCCTACAGCTTGTATTGTTATCCACTATCTCATGTTTGAAATTTGTTTGGTCCAAATGTATTATATATGTGCGCATGCCTAAGCAGCTTACTTCTTTTATGTCTTCATAAAAGAGATACAGGATTGGGTGATGGTCCTTAGCCTTCCACCAGTCTTGGACATGGTCAAACCAAGAGCCCCATGCAACTGCAAACAAAAAATGGCAAAACAATCTTGATTTACCTCTCTTTCCTTTCTGCTTCATAACTCTAGGCTCTACCCAGCTTTCCCCTCAAAATGGCTTTTATGGGCCTAGAACTATCCTGGTTGGATATGATCGGGGGAAACAATGGCACAAACCTTCTCAGATTTAAGGGGGAAATCATTAACAATTTTTTTTCCAGAGTTACAAAATTATCATTGGCATAGAGAGAGCCATACTTCTTTTTGAAGAGTAGTTTGGTAGCTATACTTCATGTTTTCTGTAGGACCAATGGTGAGTGTCATCTAGAATCTTCTTATGGTGAGATGGGTAGCAAGTAAATTTAATAAACAAATAAATGGTGAGGGCATGATGACATATTACTGCTAGGGATTCAGCAATCTGTTCCCACATGATTTTCATTCCCATTATTTCTGCAACTTCCACTTACTTTTTCCTGCAAGGAAGTTCTCTAAAAACTGATCCCAGTTCCCTGGCTCCGGCATACGCTGGTTCATGCGGTGAAAATGGAAGTAGGAAACAATGGTGTCCTTAATGTTTCTAGCTATATAAATGATCTACAGAATGGACAGAAAACCATAAAGACTGATGTTGTTATCTAGTAGTGAAATATCTTCAAGAAAACAAGCAAGCTCAGAAAGCACCAAGGACCCTATCATCAAGACTCTAGGATAAGCTTTTCATATGCATGCATACATATATCTATGTGGTTTCTTAGAGTTGACAAAGACTTAATGGCAAATAATCAAATCAAACATACTCACATTCACACAAACAAACATCTAGTTCTGCCTTATTACTATCTCTGCCTCTTTTCCAACACATAAAAAGATCCTAATCTGTCCAAGCTCCAAACTCTCATCTACTCAGTTCAACCTATTAAGCTTTTCATTTTTAGGTTCCTACATATCTTCTTATCATCATATAAGATCTTGGTTTAATTTAGGAAGCTGAAAAGGATACCGAGATTGAATTCAGATGAGAATGAAGATTTGCTTTCCCAGAAGGAATTATTTTGAAGGAGGAAGATCCTATACCAAGGTCTTGGGCAGATAAAAGAAACTTGAGTCTGGACCAGAACTGTAACCTGAGAAAACATTTCAGACAAGACTGTCCCTAGTTCTCATGAAGATAAAGGAAGGGAAGGGGGAAGTGCATTCAAACTTGCAAGATATTGTTATCATAACCTTATAACAAATGTAGGATTGGCCTGCATGGCTTTTATTTCCTTATTGGGTCTACCTTGAAAAGCTTAGATTCCATCAACCATATTGCAGTTGCTCTAACCTTGCAATTTTGTTCCCAGAAGGAAGGTGGTAGAAGATGAACTGGGAGGTGAGATTTCAGGGTACGTGGGGAAGGCATTGCCTCTGCCATTTCCAAACCTGCAACACGTGGGGTGTGGTGGGGAGAGGGGGATGGACATAATTCAGTCTCATGGTAAAGAAAATCTTTCCCATCACCTCCATGAAGCAGTACCTTGCTACTCACCTGAAGATATGGGTTTCATAGGAAACAAGTCTATGAAGGGAATCCGATTATATATGGGACCCCTTGCACATTTCTGTTTGTTTCCTCCATGCTGCACCATGTCCACTATTTCTTGCATCCAAGTAGTCCCTGATATGAGGAATGAAGAGAACAGATAGATTGACCTAGAGATTGGGCTCCAGTTCCTTGGTCTTTTTAATTTAAGCTTTGTATATTTCCCCCCCCCAAAATTCCATCATGCTCTTCCATGTCTCCTCCCCACTTACCTGCTTTGGGATAAGTGCAAATGAGTAGGTCATTAGGCTGGGCTTTAAAATTCCTTAAGAGGTCCAGGTTTTCAGCAGTGTTATCAATTAAAGAGGTTCCTTCAACTTCCACCAGCTTTGAACGTTTTATTAACTTAGGATCAAACTCTTCCGATGCTGTTCTTAAAAACTCCATGATTGAGTGGAGAAGTCAGGAGAAGGGAATTTATAAGAGGAGGACCTGCAGAGATGTGATCACAAATCTTTGGGATTTAGTATTCCAGCTTTGCAAAGATTCTGCTCCAGAGTTCCTTTATGAATCAGAATCAAGTTTTCTTCATACACTATATAAATTCGTGTCTGTCTCCACCCACTTTCTCTTTAGTTTCCTAAAATTTCTGCAAGTACTGGAAATTTGATCATGTGCATGTTTTCTAGGCAGCAGAGGCTCAGGAAAAGTTTTCCTGAATATGTTTGCATCTTGTGAGGTAGGTTGGGCTGAGAGAGAAAGCCCAAAGTCACCTACCAGCTTTTATACCTGAAGAAAACTAGAACTCATAATCCCCCATGTTTCTAGCCCAACATTTTAACCATTACACTAAACTATCTGTACTTTTCCAAAGACCGTTCTTATCCTGGACATTTCATATTTCAAACTGTTACTATCGGGGAGGCATTACAGGTATCTTAAAATGTGGACTAATAGATTGAGAAACAGTTTCTGTAATAATTGCAGTAATTGTCTTGCAGTAATTGTCCTAAATCCAACAGTACATTTGTGATTTAGTCCTATTATTATTATAATTATTTTAATTTTTAAATATATTTGTAGTATGATTGTGATATGGTGTTTGGGGCACTGTGCTGGAGTAGCTTTCAAATTTCATTGTATTTGTGGAATGCAATGACAATAAAGGTATTCTATTCTATTTAATCCTAAAACTTTGTTTCTTATTTTCTTACTGCCTACTGTAAAGTAGGATTCTCTGACCACTTTAGGTCAATGTTCTTAAAACAACTTCTATATTATTTAATACACAATTTTTTATACCTATGATTAGCAAACTTAAGAAAAGTAGACACTCTTAGAAACTTGCAAATCCCAAAAGCAAAACTTTATTGGATACACCAAGAATAAAAACCAACTCTGCTTTTTCCTGTGCAATGCTTGTATAATTAAACAACAGCTTCTCCTTCTCCCCATTCCAGTTTGGTCACATTGTCCAATTATGAATTGCAGTTAGTTGTTTTGAGAAAGGTTCAAAATTGGGAAGAAGGAGAGACCTGGAAAGATATCAAACATAGATTAATACCATTATTCATGTTCTTGGAGCCTTCATTCCTCTCCTGGTTTTCGTAGGTGCTTAGAATAAAGTAGAGTAGAGTAGAGTAGAGTAGAGTAGAGTAGAATAGAATAGAATAGAATAGAATAGAATAGAATAGAATAGAATAGAATAGAATTCTTTATTGGCCAAGTGTGATTGGATACACAAGAAATTTGTCTTGGTGCAAATGTTCTCAGTATACATAAAAGATACATTCATCAAGAGTCAAGAATCATAATGTACAACACTTAGTAATAGTCATAGGGTACAATAAGCATTCAAATCATACTAGGAAACAGTCAATATAGATCGTAAGGATACAAGTGACAAAGCTATAGTCATAAAGTCACAAGTGGGAGGGGATGGGTGCTAAGGAGTGATGAGAAGGTTAATAGTAATAGTAGTGCAGATTTTGTGAATAATTGGACAGTGTTGAGGGAATTATTTGTTTAGCAGAGTAATGGCATTTGGGAAAAAACTGTTCTTGTGTCTAGTTGTTCTGGTGTACAGTGCTCTGTAGCATTGTTTTGAGGGAAGGAGTTGAAACAGTTTATGTCCAGGATGTGAGGGGTCTGTAAATATTTTCACAGCCCTCTTTTTGATTCATGCAGTATACAGAAAAAAGGTCCTCAATGGAAGGCAGGTTAGTACTAATTGTTTTTTTTCTGCAGTCCTAATTATCCTCTGAAGTCTGTGTCTGTCCTGTTGGTTTGCAGATCCAAACCAGATAGTTATAGAGGTGCAGATGACAGACTCAATAATTCCTCTGTAGAACTGTATCAGCAGCTCTTTGGGCATGGAATCTTCCCATGAACCCTATCAGCATTAACGTCCTCTTCTTTCACCTATTCTGCTTCTGACATTGGGTATACCTTCCATTGTAGCATTTCCCTTTATAGTACTTTGAATCTAGAATTCTATTAATTTCATAGTGCTTCTCCTCTCCCCCCCAATAGAAGGTGGTGGTTCCCTTCCAACCATTTTCAAGATAGAGCTTTTAACGGGCTTCAACAAACAGCAGTCAAACCCTGGATTCCCTAGTATTTTTGGCAGTTTTAATTCCACTGTGACTGAGTTGATGATGCACACAACTGGGAAAGGACCCAATTTTTTACAGGGTTGCCTTAATTTCAATTACTTCATGATCTTAAACTCTCTTTACAGGGGGTGGGGTCTTCTGATCTTCTTGTTTCCTTTGTGACTCTCCCGCCTTCACCAAAGCTTTCTGCACATTTCCCCAAGCATTTCTTAGTGTCCATACACTTCCCTAGCATTACTGAGGAGGAGGCTCCCTTAGAAGCTCTGGCATAGGCAAAAACTCCATTACTGTAGCCACTTTGAATGGGGTGAATCCAGTGCTTCTGTGAACTGAATTATTATGGGCTACTTCTGTGAATCACAAGAGTTCTGCCCAGTTTGTTTGCTAATGGTTCACATAGCAATGCAAATATTGCTTGACTATTATGTTGACCTGTTCTGCCATCCTGTTAGTGCTTGTTTGGAACCCAGAACTAAGCCCTGGGAGGAACTTATTAACTTTAAAAACTACAACCAGGACTTCCGGTTTGAGCCTCTTCGTGGACAAACCGAAAACGCGATCGTGCGCAGTTTCGATCCATGCTCGCCGCTGGAGTACCCCGAGCCAGGTGGTTTCGGGGCTAAACCACCCCGTAGAGGTGGCGAAGAGCGGGGAGACTGCCAGCAGGGTTGAGGAGAGCTGCATCTCTCCTCCTCAACTGGCCATTACTCCCTTTCCCGAAGGCGGTTGCAGCGGTGGTCAGAAATGGCCACCTCAAAGAAGAACTTGACTGGAAAAGAATGTGCAGGAGGAAGATAAGAAGAGAAAGTTTTGGTTGACCGAGTTAAACTGCAAAAGCAACAACTAAGGTACCCTGGAATTTAAAACTAAAAAAAGTAACATTGTTCCCAAAGAAGATTCTGAAGCAGTGAAGGAGAGAGAAAAGGGAAAGGATTTGGTTTTTTCTTCTTCTCTCCTTTTCCCTAAACTGCCAGCTAAAGAGACCTAAATAAGAAATTGGGGGGGGGGGGATCCACTTTGACATTAATAGGCATTCAAGCTGAAAATAAAATGTCAAAGGGATAATAAAGATTTCTGGATACTTAAAACCTTTTAAAAGCAGGAAAGGAGAGAAAAAGAATAAAAGGGCAGGATCTGGAAAAAAAAGGGAGGAGACTGCCTGGAATTACAGTAAAACCTCAACAAGACTTCTAAAAGATACATATTAACTGAAACTTGGCTACAAAATAGTAGAACCCCAGGAAGAGAAAGTGGAAAAAAGAAGCACGAAGAAACAGCTTGGGAGTATTTGGATTATTTGGTGATCTCTGGCTTTTTGGTTATTGCATCTGAATGACTAAAATTAATTGGGTGGTTGTTTAAAAGTGTTTTAAAATGGCACTACTTTTAGATCAGGCTTGTCCAACCTGCGGCCTAAGGGCCGCATGCGGCCCAGGTCACCTTGTAATGCGGCCCAGTGCCCACCCCAACCTTTGTGCCAGAGCCAGTGAGGAGGAGGAGGAGAAGCAGGCGCGAGGCAGGGCGAGGCGAGCGCCAGGCCAAGCAGCAACAGAAAAAGCAGGCACCATCAGAGCGCCACCTCCTGCTGTTGCCACCACCGCCATCGCCGCCGCTTCTGCCCCCGCTGCCACTTCTGCCCCTGCCGTCGCTGCCGCTTCTGCCCCCGCTGCCTCCGCTTCTGCCCCCGCCACCACTGCTGCTTCTGCCCCCGCCGCCACTGCCCCCGCCGCTGCTTCTGCCCCCGCTGCCCCCGCCGCTGCTTCTGCCCCCGCTGCTGCTGCTGCTTCTGCCTTCCAGTCCTGCCTCATCCAGCCGGGCCATTTGCAGGAGGAGAGGTAGGCGCGAGGTGGGTGAGCTTTCTCCCCCCCCCCTGCAAAATTTGGCCGGAGAATAAACCATGATAAAAAAAACGTGATAAAAAAACTGTGATAAAAAATAAATAATTTTTAATAAATAATTAATAATAAAAACATCTCACTAACTTCATTTCCAAATAAATTTAATATGTTAACTATGTTTTCTATGGTTTTTTTTGGATGATCAGGTATTGTTACTGTTATTTTATTTTATGTGTGGCCCAAACCAAATTTTCATCTTCTAATGTGGCCCAGGGAAGGTGAAAGGTTGGACACCCCTGTTTTAGATGAACTGAAAATGGAACTTAAAAAGTACAAAGAAGATGCACAAGAAGGGAGAGGTTCTTTTGGCTTCGTATTTCAATTCTTAGAAATGAAGATCTCGAACTATGAGAAGCAACAAGAAATGCCTGAGAATAAGAAGACTGGGACAAAGAAGAAGCCTTTTTTTAAAAAACAAATTTTATTAATTTTTAAAGACATACAAAAACACAAAACATAGAAACATAAAAAACCTCTTTTCTGAAGGTTGCTTAGTCCCGGGTTGAAACTCTTCGTACAGACACAAATTCAAATTCATATTCATTTTATATACCATTCTGTTATGTCTCCCCCTTAATTGCAGAAAGGCAAAACAAAACAGGCAGTTCACAAACCAAAAAGCAGACCTTCCCAAAAGGACTGTGGAAGGGTTTCCAGTCCTTAGCAATAAATCCAAACTCTGTCCGGCAAACCTGACGTGGCTATAAATCCCAAAGCCTCAAAGAGTTCTCTCCGTGTGTTCACCCCCAAAAATCACTTTGCTTCTGGCAAAGCTCGCCAGCCAAGCCGTTTCCTTATATCCACTATGAGGACGTGTTAATCTCCTTAATTAGTCACTGGCTCGACGCCTCCTTCCTAATTGTGATTGACGCCTAAACTTACGTCTATTATGCACATCTAGCCAAGTTCTTTCCAAAGACTCCTCCCCACTAGAAAAGTCTCGCAAGTGTTCCTGGTTAGCTATTCCCGGCTGTTGCTC